TCATCCTCAGATCTGTAGAGTAACTGTAGAGACACTCAGTCCAGCTCCTCTGTATCTTCACATTAACACTCCATCATCATCGATAAGACGAGAGTCACTGTGCACATTAAGGAAACAGCAGCGTGTTCATCAGCAGCTGTTACCCACAATCCCTTTGTCTGTCTCCTCTGCCAGCAGGCTGACCCGTCAGAGACGTGCTGAGAGAGGTAACTGCATGGTGTGCAAGCCTGCCGGTCCCAGACTGTCCCCTACACTGTCCCCTAGAGAGACCCCCCACATCCACTGTCCCACAGTCCCCTAGAAACACCCCCCACACCCACAGTCTCCAAGAGAACCCCCACACCCCCACAGTTCCCTAGAGAACCCCCACAACCACTGTCCCCTACACTTTCCCATTGTCCTCTAGAGACCCCCCACATCCACAGTCCCCTAGAGGGACCCCCACCCTCAGCAGAGACCCTCCGGCTGCAGCTCTCTGACGCGCTCGCTGGCGCAGAGTGCTCAACTGACACCGCTGACGAAGACGATGATAACGGTGGGGGTGTGGTTGTTCTTTGCAGGTCCGAAGGTGTGGAGCAAACTGTGAGAGCGTCCCGGCGCAGACTCCGGACCCCCAACCTGTCCCCCTCGGCCCCTCTGTCCCTCTGCCCTGTCTGCAGTGCTCGCGTGCTCAATAAAGGCTTCGACACCAGAGCTCTGCGTCCTGCCTCTTCATTCTGCTGGACAGGCGCCCTTCCGTGCCAGCCTGCTGCTGTCACCAGGACAACCGGTCCGGCGGGTCAGGTCCGGTCCTGTCAGACCAGGAGGACAGCCGGTCCGGCGGGTCAGGTCCTGTCCTGTCAGACCAGGAGGACAGCCGGTCCGGTGGTTCAGGTCCAGTCCTGTCAGACCAGGAGGACAGCCGGTCCGGTGGTTCAGGTCCGGTCCTGTTAGACCAGGAGGACAGCTTGTCCTGCGGTTCAGGTCCGGTCCTGTTAGACCAGGAGGACAGCTGGTCCAGTGGTTCAGGTCCAGTCCTGTCAGACCAGGAGGACAGCTGGTCTGGTGGTTCAGGTCCGGTCCTGTCAGACCAGGAGGACAGCTGGTCCAGTAGTTCAGGTCCAGTCTTATTAGACCAGGAGGACAGCTGGTCCAGTGGTTCAGGTCCAGTCTTATTAGACCAGGAGGACAGCTTGTCTGGTGGTTCGGGTCCAGTCCTGTCAGACCAGGAGGACAGCTGATCCAATGGTTTAGGTCCAGTCCTGTCAGACCAGGAGGACAGCTGGTCCGGTGGTTCAGGTCCAGTCCTGTTAGAAACATCAGAAACAGGTCCTGCTATCAGAGACCCTGGTGCTGTAGCTCACTGACCCCCAATACAATATCTAGGAGCAGATTTGAAGTAGTGAGATATGAAAGGCACTATATGGTACCTTGACTTTCCGATGTTGGCTCTCGGCCAGCCTGCTGCTCTGAGGATCTGCTCCCTCTGCTCTGAGGGACTGACCGGACCGGACCACACATTTATTTGAGCAGGAATAGACACCCTCACCCCCCCCCAGAAACCGCACCAGCTCCTCTGCTTGGCTCTTCCCTGCTGCCGAAGGACAAGGAAAGAGAAAGAGAATTCTGGTCTCATTTAAACCAGCTTTCATTTGTTCTGTAATGGAATTGGGGGAGGGGGGGGGGGTAAAACGCCCTTCTTAAATTAAACAGCCTTTTTACCAGAGTACAGGACGCCCCAGGCAACACCAGATCAATCTCCTGATTTACTGCCTGAGAGCCTGTCAGCGCGGGAGACAGTGAGGAAGAGAGTGGGAGAGAGTTCCTAGAACAACACAGGAGTCAGGGTTATTACAGGCTGGAGTCAGGGTTATTACAGACAGGAGTCAGGGTTATTCCATGCTGGAGTCAGGGTTATTACAGTCTGGAGTCAGGGTTATTACAGACAGGAGTCAGGGTTATTACAGTCTGGGGTCAGAGTTATTACAGACTGGAGTCAGGGTTATTACAGACAGGAGTCAGGGTTATTCCAGGCTGGAGTCAGGGTTATTACAGTCTGGGGTCAGGGTTATTACAGACAGGAGTCAGGGTTATTACAGACTGGAGTCAGGGTTATTACAGACAGGAGTCAGGGTTATTACAG